GAGCCGTGCGAGATTAACTGCCGCCATTTGATCCGAGAGGTTCTCGCGCATTTCGCTCGCAATCGCGCTGTCATCCACGGGAACTTGCCATGCCATGATCTTGACGGCGCTCTGCCACGTCGGGCAGTTGAAGCGCTCGCCGGACGGGATGAGCAGCGTCGAGCGGTACACGAGGGCCGGGTGCGGCATGGGCACGTACGTAAAGACAACGACAAAGATGTCGTGGTGCGTGTCGTTGCGGATCTTGATGCCCATGGTTGTTGTTGTTGCTCCTGCTGTGGTGGCGAATTCAGAAATGAGTTTGACGACGTAGGCGCCGACGATGTTCAAGGATCTCGACGCAGTGGATGCGCCTTCTCGCACACGCGTCGGTTGAGGAAGAGTCTCGATGATAGAGAGGTGAGGTGGAGTAGCCCATGAATCCGTCGCACTTGGTGGTTTGTTGACCGTTATTTAATGTTGTTCAACTTTCAAGTAACACCAGATTTTACGATTCGAGAGGCTCCCAAACAACGCACCTTTGTCTGGGTATTATGATCCCTGTCCGGCACAGGATGACTACAACACTAAGGCACACAAGAAGTTGTATATACAGTAGCGGTCACAGACAACTGTTTAGCTCCTGCACCTGCATCAGTGTCAGCTTATAGTACGAGACAGCGACATCGTCATTGCTACGCTCCAGATCTCGAGACCAATGACTGGATTCTTGTCCTGATATATTCACATTATTCTTGTCCTGATAAATTCGCGTTATCATGCTTGGGAAAAGATGCTCCTGGTACACTTTAGCATCGCCGTAGACCGACCAGTGACTCAGAAAACATGTGTTTTTGACCAACGAGCACGTGCAGCGAACGAGCGCAGCTGATCGCAATGCCTCATTTTTGCTTGCTATCCAATTCCAAATTCAGTGCGTCCGAGACAACGATCACCCAACTGGCTAGCGATGGCCGAGACCAGTGCAAGCTCCTCCTACTTCGAGTGTTAGTAGTTTCAGTGTCCGAGGCCGCAAGCGTTTTCCCTGTACTGATTCACCATTGTCCTGGCCATTGGCATTTTATCGCCATGGCTGTTGCAGATGTGTTGTTGCCGATTCAAAATGCACTGGTTTTGAGAAATCCGCCAAGCGGTGGATTGGATTCTGGAACATGACCCCGCAGAAACAGTTTTCCATTGAAACCGCAAAGTACTTCGCCCTGACAGGAGTCCACGTGTCCCATCACTAGCATTGTCATGTTCATCGTACTACATTGGTGAGCGTCTAAACTACGAATACGGAATCTAATCTGCGCCCAACACCCACATGTCACTGGTGAATAAAATTATGACATAATAAAAAGGGGATCGTGGATACGGCGGGAAATTATAAAGGAAGCGCGCCTCGCTGGCGTGGGACGATGTCTCGAGCGATTCCATCGAAAACCGTTGAACCAAGGCGGACATTGGGGTAGTTTACAGCGCTATGGTAGTTCCCGAGGTTGTATAAGCCTTGGGTGAAGACTCGATCGACGACTTTCTCCGCGGCAACGATAACAGTGCGTGGGATATCCTCCTTTGAGACCTCGACGTCACAACCGTCGACACGGGAATCTTTTAGTTTTGAATTAAACTGCACAATAAAAGTATGCATGGCTTTTGTAAATAAATATGAGCCTCGGAGGCGTGTTTTACGACATTTTGACCTCCGCACCTACTAGTACCCATCGTACTTTGGACGCTCACTACTGTAGTACGCTCTAGGATTGACCGCAGGTAGTAGTGGCATAAGGGGCCTGGACGACGACATTGCCGCACTCCAATCGAAAAATCTCTGCACTTGGTCGATATTGCAAGATGGCTGGCCGCTGCTTCGCCGCCAGAGAGATGGAGGACATGCACGGTTGCGCTCGTTCGCTGCCCGTGCTCGTTGGTCAAAAACACATGTTTTGCGAACCACCGGTCCGTCTACTGTCAGGCTGGCAGTAGCATAGAATGTATCGTCTTCCTTTGCAATGCAACCGCAAAACCGTGCATTCATCGAGACAAGATGCCAGTCACCGTTCTTAAGATCTCTAGCCCCACTCCGACGGTGTCGATACTGCGATAAGGTAGATACTGTGGCTGGTGCACAACCACATACAACAATTCTGCCACCGCTCACAACTCCTTTCAACAACAATCCTGACATTGCTCTGCTTGGAGCCGTTTGTGAGGTCAGTGTCGGGCAAGAGTATGGTACAAACGTTGGATATTTTGTGCAACTCGATCCTCCTTTTTAGGGAATCTGTGGTGCACATTGACACTGGGCAGTCGGTTCACGAGGCACTGACTGCTCCAAGTAGGCAGCGTCACTGGAAGCTGTTGAAACAAATGTTGCTTGGCGCTTGGTGGTTTTGTGAATATCACACCAAGGTCCACAAACCGTCAAGTGCGCCGGATTCATGAGGCTGCATTACTGCGTCTCGCCTATCATCATTGGGACACTTCCTCAACCGCCGCGAGAAGGCACATCCTCTGCGCCCAATTCTTTGAACTTGGTCTGCGCCCACATTGCCCAACCTCATTTCCGAACTCGCGAACCACCACCACCAGTAGCCATGGGCATCAAGATCCGCAACGACACGCAGCACGACGTCCTCGTGCTCGTCTTTACGTATTTCACGACGCCGCTCCCGACGCTGTACTACCGCAAGACGCTGCTCATTCCGGCCGGCGAGCGCTTTAACTGTCCGACGTGGCAGAGCGCGGTCAAGATCTACGCGTGGGAAGCCGACAGCAGCAACGGCCGCCAAATCAAGACGTTCCTTGAGAAGCGTTTTGGCAAGATCACGGCGGCACGCCTTGCCTTGGCGCCGATTGGCGGCGACCTGCTCGAAGCCGCGGGCGCGGCCGTCGAGCTTGTCGGCGAGGCCATTTTGGACATGCTCATCCACTCGATTCTCGAGGACGCGATCGAGTTCATCTCGGACAAGGTCATGGACAAG